TTGAATGCCTGCATGTATGTGAGTAGATGTCCAAGGTGGAACTTCTACATTCCCAAGAAGCAGCCTGCTACCTCTCTGCTTGCAAGAGTCATGGCGTACAACTGTAAATGTTGATAACACCTGGTCTAAATACAGGTGGCATGTCCTGAATCCTCCAGTTCATGAAGGACATGAGACACCATTTAAGAGACTGATCACACAATCTGCTTCTGTGTACAAACTATTCAGGCTGGGAAATCTGGAGCCTGGAAAAGAGCTGAAGATCCTGGCTGAAGGCAACTTCCCATAGGTGAAGGAAGATTCTGGAGATCAGAGAGTTGAGGGCACATGAGCACGAGGGGATGTCAAGCATCCCTAGCCAGCAACACACCAGAGAGGTAACTGCACAAGAGAGGTGGCACAGCAGGAGGACATTCTGCCTGACCATGCTGCATCAGCAGTGAGCTCCCTGCTGCAGAGGGAAGTTGACAGCTTGGAGCTTAATGCCTGGGGAAGTGAGGATGCAAGTGCATGGGTCTTAAACAACCTCCAGAACCTTGATGGGCTGTCATTCAATCTGTCTCATATGGGAAACGTTGACAGGTTGCTTCATAAGCTTTATAATTTAATAATTTTGAAAAAATTTCAGAGTTGAGATTTACTAATATGTGCCAGTTGATGCATGCAGTTGCTTTGGAGTGAAAGTCCCACTGCTCTCACAACATCTGAATGTTTAGCTAGTCTATTATATCAGATGAAATACAAGATGGGGTACCGTACACAGTCTGCTGTTGAGCACTCCATCAGCTTATGAGAACAAAGACAGACTTCTAGACATACCATACATGTGGAAAGCACATTATGGTGTGTCTCTACTAGAATTGTGAAGATACTGCTGTTTGGCTCTACACACTTTTTACCAGTCACTTGAAAAAAAAACTCAACAAAAATTGTCATTGATAGAATTTTCAAAAGACAGAGACAGGAAAAATGGTAAATAATAGAGTCCAGTTCTGTGACCTTGACTGCCCTGTCTCAAGCAAATAGTACATACTTCAACAAAACCCAGTGGAAGGTATATCCTCAGGAGGGAAGAATGTTTGTTCTGCAGCCAACTGTTACATAGGATTACTTGTGATTGATAAGTGAGCCAAAATGACTTGTCAGTGCAGAAGCACAAGCAAAATGGCAAATACGCTGGTTTCAGATGTATAAATAGGGACATTATATAACCTCTGCATTTGGGTTTAGCATGATTGTGTCTGGCATATGGCATTCAGTTCCCAATGTCCACAACAGAAACTGAAATCAGACAGAATCAAAAAAGTGACATAAGGAACATTTAAGCTGGGAAAATAGGCTGTATCTTGAAAGACAAAAACCAAGATCTATTTAGTTTGTCAGGGTGAAGGGATCTGCTTGATCTCAGCGAAATCACAGCTTTCATAAAGAGCTTTTCTACTCAGTAGAAACATATTTTTTGTCTGGAAATCCAAGGTGAACAAATTTGAATCATAAAGAAGGTGGCTTCTTTCCTGGTTTGTTTTTGTTTGGTTGGTTGATTGGTTTTCCAGGAAAGGTAATTATCAACGAAAATAGTTTGGCATATCTTATTGAAGGCCCTAATGAATCTCCATTACTAGCAAATTATTTATCAAGATCTCCTAGGGATGTTTGAGTAAACACACATAACCTCAGGTGCTGCCAACAGTGCATATTACAGAGGTGATCACGCTATAGGATCACAGTTGTCCCTTCTTTTTTATATAAAATTTCATTGCATCTATGGTCAAAGAGAATGTCCATGGAATACATCTTGAGTCATGTGTTCAATTTTGGGCCACTCACTATAAGATAAATATTGAGGTGCTGGAGCATGTCCGGAGAAGGGCGATGAAGCCGGTGAAGGCTCTGGAGCAGAAGCCTGATCAGGAGTGGCTGAGGGAGTTGGGGGTGTTCAGCCTGGAAAAAAGGGGCCATTCACTTAGGAGCTGAACTTGATCCTCGTGGGTCCCTTCCAACTCAAATTATTCTGTGTGTGATTCTGTGTGTGTGAAATGCCTGGACGTGGCACTTAGTGCCATGATCCAGCTGACAAGGCGGTGATAGGTCAAAGGTTGAACTCACTGATCTTACAGGTCTTTTCCAACCTAAATGATTCTGTGTGTCTGACAAACAGCAGAAAGAATACAGCATAAATAGGAGTCACATAAAAACAAAACCAAAAACGTGCTGTTAGTTACCATCTAGTCAATAACTTGAGAGAAGTAAAGGATGACAAGCAGGATGAAACAATATTCTTGGACAACACTAGACTGGAAAAGACAAGTGATTCAATGCTTCTTAACACTCCCCTATAGCCTCTGCAACACTTCTCTGTGTCTTTGTGTTCTGCTTTGTGGCACTATGCTGTCTGTGTATGTGATTATAATGCTCCAGGCAGTAAAGCTTCCCAACAACTTTTGCAGATGCATTTCCAGCAGAAAAAATTTGGGTGTGTGA